GAAATTTCTGTTCTGGATGGTTTGCTCCTTCTACTTGCAAGAAGAATAAAAATCAACAGAGTGTCAAGACAGTCTGCAGGAAATTTCAAAGTAATCACAATATGCATACAGATGCTTCACAGAAAAACCTTCATGTCTAAATAAGGAGTGTCGATACAGGCGCAGTCACAAATAACGAACAGATTCTGTCATACATTTCTCACAATTTCAACTCGTCGCACAAAAGTAATGTCAAGACTTCAGGTTAGGATATCTTTGGTATTTTGGTATGTGTGAGAACCCTTTATCCACGCAGTATAAACAAAACAAGAATATGCCTTTTAATAAGGCAGTGTTTTTCTTACCAATGTAACTTTTGCTGCTTTGCTAAATTGCTCATGATGGATTAAGCCGGGTCTTTGTAATATAGCAATAAGTAAGGTCTTTTACCTGCTTTTTGTAAAGTGTCTCGAGATAACACTTATGAGTTGACACTATACAAATAAAAATTGATTGAATATTACTTATGAAATTGTTGTTGCATTTCTCACGCGAGCTGTGAGTACAAAGTGTTCTAGCCAGAATTTTTCCATTACCCTGTGGGCAGGTCAGATTTCTTCCTCGGATGGCTTTTTGAAGATGGATTTGTGTAAGTGGTCAGATAGACGTTGTGTCCAGACATCAGCATGGGTTGCCGTAGTAATGACTCAGGTGTGAGTAACTACGTACGATGCTGAGGAGGAAAGAGAAGCATCCAGAATCATCTTTTCTGCACAGAGTTCTATGTGTTGTCCTGCACACTGCTCGGCTTGTAGCGTCATGGATTCATCATCAGCTGCTCTGACACACACGTGTGTTGTCACTGTTCATTAATTTGGATATTTGCCAGAACTCACTTGTGAAGACTTTGTTGTTTAGTGTCACTTTTCTGTGTTGCAGAGAAAGAGCTCGTCTGTGGACGCTTCTGATGAGGCGAAAGCCGGCAGAGCGAAAAACTTCCTGGCAGAGATGAAGAAGTCTCTGAGCGCGGTGAACTTTGACCGCGTCGTGAAGGCTCTGCAGACGTACAAAAAGACGGACGACCTGGACGCTCTGCTGACTGAAGCCGCCGTCTTAACTGAAGACGCTAACACTCACAATCTGCTGCGGGGTGAGTCTGCTGCCGAAACATTTCTGCGCACAATGAAACAGTTTAAGAGGTGGCTATACTCCACAGCTTGATCCTTGATATTGAGGTTGTTTCCCCTCTTATCATCCAATAATCAACTGAGCTACATAGATAAGCCTCTCTGGGTCATGATCACAATAATGTTTGTGCAATAAATTGGAAGTTGTTAACCTCCTGTGAAGAATCATGCAACTTCTCAGCATATGCACAAGTTTTAAAAAGATATATATATAACAAGTGAAATCCTGCAGAGTGCTTTGATTCTGCAGAAATAACGTCAGAAGGGACCATTTTAAAAAGAACTTGCTTGTCTGGTTTTGTAAACAGAGCCTAACAGTCCTGACAGAGTTTACATTTTTATTTGAGTAAATCTGCATCACAGAGTAGTACACCTTTGACCTGTATGTTGTAATTAAATCACAGGAGAAATCTGTTTATTTTTGGTTCACAAGAGTAAGACCAAATTCAGCCAACGTGTGACTGAACTCCGAGAGAAATTCTGACACTGATCCAAGCTAACGGGTCGTCAAACTGGGAACTCGTAGCTGGAACTCGTAGCTGGAAGAAGCGGGAAAGTTAATCTAAGTAATGTTATGAATAGAGGAGAGGGCAACATGTTTGGTTTTCTGACTTCACAAAAGTGTGAAGATTGAAGGATTTTGTTTAAGCAAAGTGAGCAAACTCAAATAATACTGCAGGGAAATGTGTAAGGAAAGTGTTAAGGCAAATCTGCACTTCTTTTAGACAGCGTTTTCTGAAAAAAATACCGTAACTAAGCTCAGCGTTCATCACATCTTTGTACGCCTATAGTGTTTCCACTACGGCGTGATATTGGTGTCTTGGTTTGTGAAGTCACATTGGGTTTCGGTGTAGCAGAAACTCCACATACACACACACAGTTAGACATGCACTAACACACAGCGATTCACTCCCCCACTGGCTCAGCTGAACCGTCTGGCCTCTGTTTCTACCTCTGAAGAAATGTGTAATGATTCCTCCGTGTCTCAGGCCTCTACCAGTTTGTTCGGCCTCATCACAAGAAGAGGTTCGATGAGAAATGTCAGGAGCTGACGGGACACGGCTGCGGATACAAACCGGAACACTCGCTGGCAAAGGACATGAAGAAAGCTCTGGTGCAGACCGGTAAGAAACACTCATCACGAACCAACACACACACACATACACACATACACACATACACACATAAGAACAACTGAAAGTATCCGGTAGTCTTGTAGTCAAGACCACACTAACCGAGACCATGGTGCTCTGAGACCGAGACAAGACGAAGACACTTAGGGAGTAAAAGCGGTGTAAAAGCGCTTTGAGTAGTCGGAAGACTAGAAAAGCGCTATATAAGCTCAAGTCCATTTACCATTTATTCAAAACCAAGACATTTAGGGATCGAGACCTAGTCAAGACCAAGACCAAGGCAGGGCGAGACCGAGACAAGACCAAGACATTTAGGCCAAGACCATAAATATCACTGAAGAAAAATCATCAATCTTATGTGCAGCACTTAAGGTGAAAAAATCAGTGGTGGTCTTAATTTAAAATCCTGAGTCCGCCCAGTCCGAGACCGAGTAAAAATGCTTTCGATTCCGAGTTGAGACCAAGAACTTCAAAAAATGATCTCGAGACCGATCTTAAGACCAAGACCGATATCGAGTACTCCAACACGAGTATCCGGTATGTCCTTGTCTGTACTATCAGAAATCTGTTCCAAAGTCCAAAATCATCTTTAAATGTTGTGTTTTGAAAGCGTCAGACAGACAGCCTGCTGCAGGTCTCACCTCCTCCACCTCCTGCACTCAGCTGAACACTCAACAGCTCAACAAAGGAGGAGAACACCTGAGCCAGCAGGGACTAAAAGAACCTCCGAAAGGTCAGGAAAAAAAAAAATTACGTTTTAATTCTTGCTTTCTGAAGTGAACTTGAGAAGTTTAGATACCAGGAGTGATGCTTAAGTTATCTTTAATTAGAAATATCTTTCTTTGACTTGTCCCAACAGATACCTACATTATTATGCATTAAATAAAGTGTTGTTCTCATGTTCTCCAGGTTCTGCTCCAAAGAGTGAAGTCCACACCGCTTTTCTGGCAGATGTGAAAAAGTCTCTCGGCGCAGAGAAGTCGTCTCAGCTCTTCCAGGCCGTCCTGAGCTACAAGAAGAGCGACAGCTATGAGAACCTGGTGAGCACGGTGGTGAGCTTATTAACCGAGAGAGACGAGGACTTCAACCTGCTGATCAGTAAGTTCAAATCACTGTTATGTACTGTATATTTCCATTTTTTAAACATTTATAAAGGTATGAACCTCTTGATTCCGAAGATGGAGGTCTGCGCTTTCTGAGAATGACCTGAGATGTTAAAAATATGATTCAATGGACTCCTTCTCACGAGCAGAATCCAAAATAAAATACTGGAGCAGACAATTCTGAGTGAAGGAGTCCACTGAATCCTCTTCTTAGTGTGTTGATCTTTGTTATTAATGTATTTTCTTTTCTTCAGGATTTGGCACGTTTATTCGCCCTCACCATAAGAAGCAGTACAAAGAGATGCTGGATGCTCTGATCGGTCGGTCGGATTCTGCTAACGATGTTTGTGCTGCTGTGAGGAACGTCCAGCAAGAGAACAGTTAAGGACGACCCTATGTACTATAACCATTATGTGAATAATAAATATTACATCATTCTTGACAGCTTACCACATGTTTATTGTTTTTGTTGTTTCAGATTTATCGTCGACGCCTTTGAAGACACAAAGCAAGATATCCGGTTTCTTTTCAAGCAGCCAAAGAAAATAGAATCATGAACGTGTTTCACAAAGTTTGTTCATGTTTCTGCTGAATTTGAAAAAACATGAAGCAGCCGAGCTCTGTTTCAGGGCAGCGGTCTGACTCAGTCCGTGTAGACGCTGAAAATGGATCCACCTCTCTGACTCGACAATTTAAATAATGAACCTGAATCGTTTTTGGACTCCTACCTTGAAGACGACACTCGGATGTGAAAAATGATGTTGATGGACAGAATACTTTTATATGTTTTTATTTAATTAAATGTAAATGAAGTCTACACCTGCCTCGTGATTCTTTTGAAACAGCCGTGCTCTCTGCGATTTCTGACTCTGTCCTATCTCTCCAATAAAGCCAAAAAATACATCTTAAAATAAATAATTAACATATTCACAAAATTACCAAAAAATACCTTCTAACAAGAAACCCAACACCGGTCCGGATAAACGCACTTTGAGTCACTGCTGCAATCCATTTTAACGATTTTAAACTAAGAATATGAAAATGTTCAAATGGTTTTATTACTAAAAAATAAATTTGAACTAGTGTCTGGTTTTACTCATAAACTGTCTATAAAGGACATTATTTATAGACAGTTTATGTTAACTCATAACATTTGACAAAGTTATGGGTCAACATGTTTTTAAATACTACTTAGAACATACTAAACAAAACTTAATGCGCAAGAAATAACCAGTTTTGTCGTTTATACGCTAATTTTTTTTATTATTATTATTTTTTTAATTCTTAAAATATTAACCGTCTTTTATCGACTTTAAATAAACAGATACAATAACGTTTGTTGCAACAATTACATTTTAAACAGGTTTTATTTATTAATTAATCACATTTATCAGTATCCAACGTAAATGAATAAAAGCCGTAATAGTTTTTTTTATCATTTTGAAATATAATTATTTTAATGTAATTGAACGTGTGTTCATGTAAACATTTGAAATAAGTGCAGAATTTGTTAAATAAATAAAACAAATATGCGTAACTTAGGAATTTGATGTAGAAAACATTGAACTCACGTGGTTGCCTTTGGAGTATCGCGAGAGTTCCTGAAGCAGAGTACTTCCATCATGGCAGGCTGTAAGTTGGTGCTAGAAGGTAGAGTTAGTGTAAACGCGTTTATTTTAGGAGTCAGCGTGCTTGTTATTCCGCTTATCAGAACCTTTTTCGGACACCATGACTGGGTCTTTGATTACCTGACGGAAACTCCCGGGAAAGTCGTGATTTGCGTTCATATCGCGGTTGTCAACGGCCTCTTGCTAACCATATACAGAGGACCTCTTTACAAGGTAAGCGTCAACTTCCTGTTCTCTGTTTCATTCATCTCTCTCTTTTTGTGTCGTTTAAAGACTACATGTTTAGTCGATCGGTGTTATCTTTCCGTAAGCTAACGCCGCGGGGTCTGATATAACTTCCTTCACCTTTTATTGAAACTGTAAGCTAACATTAGCCCCCCTTAACATGTCTTATGTTAGCTGATGGGATTAGCTGCAGCAGAGAGAGAGAGACAGCTGGTGTTTATGTGCTCAATATAGAAACCTAAGCCAGGTAAATCCGCTGTGTCTCACCTTCTTCTTGTCCCTCAGAGTCTTTAATTAACTTATTAGCAGCCCTGGCAGCTTCTGCATGCACAGTGAAATCAATTGATACAGAACCTCATTTAGAAATGTGCTCATTTTGTGTCACCTTGGTGTGTTTCTGATGTTATTTGTATTTATGACATGACTTGAGATATTTTAACGATTATACAGACTCCTTGTGCAAATTCGGCGATATCAACTAAATGAAATAGTGTCAAATATGTTGGCTATCATCACATCAGTGAAGTGAAGCCGTATTTAACAACGTTGTACAAATGACACTAGCAGGGTTTCCCACGCGTCCTGGAAAAGCTGGAAAACAGTTGAACAATTTTCCAGTCATGGAAATAAGAGGAAAAAGTAAAATAAGTGTTCTAACTTGTTCCAGGTTGCTGTGAGAGCCTGCTTTCTGGGAGTTACTTTTGGCCTCGGCTTAATGATAAGCTGCTCCGACACCACATGGACACACTTTGGCTGGTATGTAGATATCCCTCCCCCCCTCCCCCCTCGTGTTTTTGGCAGCAGTTACATTATTTGTTCTGTAAAGTAACGGTTCCTCTCTGCAGGTACATGTGCTCCCTGTCGTTTTTCCATTACTCTGAGTACCTGGTGACGGCCATCATCAACCCTCGCAGCCTGTCACTGGACTCGTTCCTGCTCAACCACAGTGTGGAGTACACGCTGGCGGCTATCTCATCATGGGTGGAGTTCACCATAGAGAAGCTCACAGTTCCAGGTTGGTCTAATCTCCGCTGCGCTCATCCACTTAGAAATCATGAGTGTAGCAGTTTACACATGTGCACACCTGAATCTAGATAGATTATATCCTAACCCCCAAGGACATGCTGATGAACTGAAAACATAAATCAATTACCTGCACGGAGATCGAAGTGGTTGCATGCAGACAATTTATGCGCCCAAATATCAAGATATCAATTATCGAGTTTTCTGCAAGTGTAAAAGTGTTTTCTTCTCTCACTTCATTGCTTCTCTGTCTTAAAATCAGAAGTGGTAAGGTCTTTAGTTTGAAAGTCATTTAAAAAAAAAAACAGAGCAGCTTTAGTTTAAGTTAAAAAGGTTGAAAGAGAAGTGAGTGAAAGCAGCGGCTTCCCTTGATTGCTCGTACTTTTTCAGGATTTTTTATTCAACCTTGATCAAGCGCTCATCCCGTGTCTCTAAAGTTGCATCAATGCATTCCACGCTTGCGTCTTTTTCTTGGGTCTTAGTCCCTCCCACCAGAGATGCACGGGGGGCATAAAGAACCAAATCAAAGGAGAGAGGAAATGTGTTTTGAGACACACAGGTGATGTCTCTCCTCCCTCCTCCCTCTTCTCTCCTCTCTCCTCCTCCTCCTCTCTCCTCCCTGTTCCCTCTTCTCTCTTCTCTTCTCGATCCTCCCTTTTCCCTCCTCCCTCTTCTCTCCTCCCTCCTCCTCCTTCTCCTCTCTCCTCCCTTTTCTCTTCTCCTCCTCCTCATCCCTCCTCCCTTCTCTGAGCAGCAGTAAGAGCTTTGGGACGATCCTTAATCTGCCGCGCCCTGAACTACATCTGGTTCGATCGAGGGAAACATGATATATGAGACATGAGACGCAGCGCGCATTTGTGCAGTATTTTTAGTGTGTAAACTTTTGGGGCGTTTAATCATCCTCTCCTCCCTCTCTCAGAGCTGAAGCAGCTGAGCTGGCTGAGCTTGGTGGGTCTGTTCATGGTGCTGTGTGGGGAGGGTCTGCGGAAGGCGGCGATGTTGACGGCCGGCTCAAACTTCAACCACATCGTTCAGAATGAGAAGGCCACGAGCCACGTGCTGGTCACCAGCGGGGTCTACTCCTACTTTAGACACCCGTCCTATGTGGGCTGGTTCTACTGGAGCACGGGGACCCAGGTGAGACACAACAGCCGGGTGTGTTCGATCTGTGTTAACCTTTTTAAACAGCCAAGTGAACGTGTCATGAAGTCTGAGATAGAGTGATGTAACAGCTGTTTCCCACACCTCCTGTTCTGATCACTGATGAGCCTGCTGACTCTTGCAGGTCATGCTGTGTAACCCCGTGTGCATACTGGGCTACACGATAGCCAGCTGGAGGTTTTTCCGGGAACGTATCGAGGAGGAGGAGCTCTCCCTCATCCACTTCTTCGCTGAGGACTATGTGCAGTACAAGAAGAAGGTTCCCACTGGCCTTCCCTTCATCTCAGGGATCCGTGTTAACTAGTCCCGAGCCGGATTCTGGACTGAGCAGACTTTAAGCACTGAAGCAGATCAGACCTGGTGGGTGTGTGTAGCGTCCGTCATGGCGGCTGGCTGCCCTCCAGCAGAGACCCGAGCAGCTGGCTGAGAGCCTCACAGCTCACAGACAGAGACAGTGATGGCTGGGATGGCGGCACGCAGCTGGGCTGCTGATTTTCTACCAACTTCCAAAATCCAGTTAACGACCAGAGAACCTCCACTGTACTCATTTACTCCAATAATATCCACGTCATGTGTTTTGTTGTGTTTCTGTTTGCATGCTGTGACCATGCCGAGTGTTTTCACAGATGACCTGTTCAGATCAATGCTGCACTGTACCCACTCGCAACCAGTGAGAAGTTAAAAAACTGATTCTTTAGACGGACGAGTTCAAAGGTTTTTCACAGTATTGTTATTGGTTATGTTTTCAAGAGGTTGTCACAACTTTCACTACACTTAAAATCTTAAAAATCATTAATGGAGTATTTCACTAAAGGACAGTTATCCCCCGTAGGGTCGTCAGGATATCAGATTTTAAACTTTGATTCAATACCAGAAAAAATACCTGTCTCGATGCTGCAGGAACCCCCTAATGGCTTTTTTTATTTTTTTAAATTACCAGAATTTGCAGCACATTGTATAAATTACACAAACGTGGTCAATGTATTTGTGTAATTTAGACAGTGCTCTCTCTTTGGGTTCACAATATGACTGAAGATCTGTAGTTGTTTTTTGATCGTAAAAAAAAACAGAGATTGTTGTGTTTTTCCAACACATGGTCAAACATTGTGACGCGATCGTCCCCTGTAGCTGAGGTCTCCGTTGTGTGATGCAAATTCAAAGCACCTCAGCTGTGAACTTTGACCCCTCCATTAGAACCCAAAATGATTGTTCTTCTCAGTGTAGTGTTGTAGTACTCGAGATCAGTCTCTGCCTGTTATTACAGCGTCTCATTCTTGAGTTAAGAAGCTCGGTAACACAGGACTATACATTTATCACAGTATAACTTAAACATGAAGATCTTACCTGTCGACTGCAAAGCCATCTACAGCGGCGGTGAGTCGACGGATGAATCATGTCAGATAATCGTGGTCACCTACTGTTCATGCCACACCGCTGCATCCTCAAAGATCCAAAGCACTATCGATGTCGTGTAGTGAAGGTTAAAGCAGCACTCACATAATCTCTGTCAGAAAAAATTTAGACCACTGAACCAAACATTCGATTTTTCACTTAGCCGCTCCTTTATGACGACAAGGGAGAAAAGAAGCTTTTTTTCTGTTTACGATTTTATCCTCCGAACGATTATTTCACTGTAAATGTTTTTAGTTGTGTGAAGGATGTTTACGTTTCTATCAGGTCAGTTAGAGATGAAGCTGCAGCTTCTCCAGTCGACTGAATACATTAAAGGTTCTTTTTTAAATATATAATTTAAGAGATTAAATGTTGAAAAAGGACCAGTTGGCTTGAGCTGATGTCCCTGACTGTGGTGTAGCCTCTTTTTGTTTAATTTATTCTTCATTGGATGTTTTTCTTTGTGTTTGTGATGAACAGACCTTTCTTTTCTTTCGGCGTCAGTTTGTCGTTATCTGCTGTTGATCTGTCGGCTCACTTCGTGTAAGGAACCGACCAAACCCCTGAGTTGTGTGTAGATGAAGTGGTTGAGCGAGGCTGACTCTCTCTCTTTCTCTCTCTCTCATATCTGAGTAGCGTTACAGTGCTGCTCTTCACTCTCTGAACACAGATTGTATTGTGTGTGTGTGTGAGAGAGAAAAAGAGAGCGGGTCAGCAAAGAGTTCATGACCACTGTTGGTGCTGTGTTTGGTGAAGCTTACATGTTTGAACTGTAGACTGTCTGTGTATCAGAAGTGGACGTGCCGACGTCTGAGGACTACGATGTTAAAGCCCTCACTTTGGCTGTTTAGCATTCATGTTGTTTTTGGAGCCAGATTTTGGATGGGGTGGGGGGAGGGAGCTGGAAGGACTCGAGAGGTTTGAGTACGCCAAATGGTTAGGGCTAGTTAGGTAAGATGTATTTGTAATTGATTTGAATTGAGAGTGAATTTAGCCGACGGGAAATATGCTTCAAACAAACGGTCCTAACTGAACATTAACAGCCAACTCCTGAAGCATCAACGACTTGGTCCTTTAATTTACTCTAAATCGTACCTTAAGCTACAAATGAACATCTCGCTATGTTAAAGGAGCAGTATGTAACTCTGACCTCTAGTGTTTAAAATGGGTACTGTAGTCTAAATTCTAAACATCATAGAGAGCTATCTCCCCCCCCTCCTCTCTAGAGTCCATGCTCACTCAGGTCACCATGTGGTGGACACTGAAGCTTCAGTGTTTATCCAGCTCTGCATGGGTCTGTAAACCTTTCTGTGTTCTAACCTCTCTCCATTTTTCAAAAGCATCTCCAACATTGATCCTAGTTTGAGCACGTTTCTGCTCGTGGAGCTGATTAGAAACATGCGGACTTCAATACAATAAGTGAATTCACCCCCTGCTGGACGCTAGAGAGAAGGCATATTTAAGGCACTACCGCATTGGCGGCACTAACACCACTTCTCGTAGACAGTTTATAGTTTTAACAGTTCAAACTTTACATGTCCTTTAATCCTTTGATTTCAGAGTGTTTAGGAGTACATCAAGATCTGGAAGATTGTCCCATTGGTCGACTTATCTATTAAAAATGTCAGAAATCTTATTGTCCTGCTGTAGAATTGAATTATGTGCAGTATGTAATGGGTCTGCTGTTACTTGTGTTGGAGGAACGCAGAGCTCAGGAGTTGTTTTAGCTTGCCTGAAACCAAAAGTGTGAACTGTACAATTTTCACCCATAAAATGAATCAGGATTGAATCTGACTTCAAAGAATGGAAGATCTCTGCGTAAAAATAAACAGACCAAAACATGTTTTAAAAATCCTGCTACTCTTGCTCTGCATCACCAATTTATCAGGAAAAAAAATCCATGTTTCAGTCCCTGTGAACATTTGAGCAAGAGTAGTGTGCAAGGTCCTTTCTTTTATGTCCTACACAAGGACTTTGATCTATGGCACAATCAACCAAATCCAGTGTTCCTGAAATGCAGTTTAGGATTGAATGTGTGTTTTCAGGTGTTTGCAGTTCAAAGTGACGCACTTGTAGCATATGTAAGAAGTGCACCGTGTAAGGTTAGACAATGAAAACACTGAAGGGTTTTAGGATGACCATCTGCTGCATGGCACGCCTCAGTCCAGTTTTAGATTTGTTGCACTTTTTACTGTATAGGAGAACCATTTATCACAGGTCAGAGGGAGAGAACTGTTCACAGAGTTTCTCAACATCACATGTATGAAATAAAATCAAAGCAATTATTACTCAGACTCTGTCTTTATTGTTCTCAATGGAGCTGATTTCAAAAAGATGATATTTATTTACTTAACTCACCATACAGCAATACATATATCATAAAACAAATTGTATTTACTTTTTGGGACATTTTTGCCTTTATTAGATCTGACCGCTGAGGGGAGACAGGACATGTTGAGAGGAGAGAGGGAACCGAACTCACGGATGCGTAGATTATTTGACTTTCTACTTTAATAAATATTATTTTCTTGTGTTTTTATTTACACATTTTTCGCTTCATTTAGTATCCGCGGACACTTTCAAAGCGTGTTAATCAATCCCAGAAAACATGATTCCATCCATAATTCTGCGTTCGATTCGTACATGTAACGCATGCGCACTGCTCACTCTTCCTTTCTGCTAGCTTCTCCGCCATGGCGCCCATTGTAAGTAAAATCGCGTGTCAATAAATGCCCTGAAATGTCGATTTTTCTGCGTGAAATCCAAAGAAACCCAGCGGCATGAGATGATAGTGTTTCCACAATAATTATTATCTAAATTTGGAGTTTTTAGTTTTAATTTTAAGTGTTTTTTTTAACGGCTTAGTGTTTTCCCGTGGCCTTGTAGCTAGCATTAGCTTCGGTAGCGACTCCAGGCAGCTCACCACGTTGTGAACACAGCGAACATGTCCGGACGGCTGCATGACAGCATCTTGTTTAACATGCATCACACATCTCTTGGTGATAGATAGGATTGATTTCCCCTCGTTTATATTGTGATTCAGATACCTGAGCGTGAGATGGCGTGAAACATGGATTGATGTACCGGTTTGGGGCTAAATCGTTGATATGTTTGCGTCCTGCAGCGACTCAGCATGTTTACCCCTCTCTCCAAACCCACCCTCATCGGATCAACAAATATAAATAGCAACAAACCGCTTAACCCGGATGTAGCTCTGTGTTACAGTTGTTTATGTTTTGTGTGTTTCGTCAGCAGAAGAAGCAGAACACCGGTAAAGGTGGTAAGAAGAAGAAGCAGGTCCTGAAATTCACTCTGGACTGCACCCACCCTGTGGAAGATGGCATCATGGATGCTGCCAACTTCGTAAGTGAACCCCTCATCAGATGCTTCCCCAGCTTTTATTCAGTTTACCTTAAACTACAAAATAAAAATGAAACATTCTTGAGAATTTCAGGAGGACTGCCCCTTGAAATCCTCCTGATCTGAACCTCACAGCGGGAGACTACACCTGTTGGTTGGGGGGGGGACTGGGGGTGAGGGGGTCTCCTGAGGCAAGACTACATGTAAAAAAAAAAAAAAAAAAAGATGCAGCAGTCTGACAATATAATGAGAATATCTTCATATCAATGCTACTTGTAGTTGAAGAGACTCTCAATGTGAACTTAAGAGTGGAGGTGAATTCTCCTGATTATATCCTGCTGCGTTCTCACATCAGCTCACTCTGACTTTCTGCAGAAGAAATACGAGGAGGCTGGAGGAGAGTTTTGTGTCAGATTGAAAGCACTATGTGTCAGTTCTGTGTCTGACATGTTTCCAAAAACTTGTCGTTCTGCAGGAGCAGTTTCTTCAGGAGCGCATCAAGGTGAACGGGAAAGCTGGCAACCTGGGAGGCGGCGTGGTCTCCATCGAGAGGAGCAAGAGCAAGATTACAGTGTCCTCTGAGGTGCCCTTCTCCAAAAGGTGAGCAACACTTCATACTGTAAGTCCACTTGTATGGTAGACTGTGATAAGAACATGGGACAGCATCTGCACCAATCTTCTTTGGAGCAGGAGATGTTCAGTTCAGTGTAGCCAATGAGCATGTGTGCTGTGGTTGGAGCAGAGATGAGGATCAAAATGCTGTTCTACTAAGGACCCAGTTCTGCATTTATTAAGAAAACCTGAAAATCAAAAACGTGAGCTGATTGATACTGCTATCCAGTCTTGTGGGTCTTGTAAGGTGATGTGTGAAGAGGTCTTAAGTGTGGCAACATTTTACCACAGATAAAAGATGAATCAACCAAAAAATGCAAGTTATGCTGCAAAATAACAAAACCTTCATGGCAAAGCTCGTCAGCATTCTGCCTTCAAATTGATCCTAAATGCTGACCGTCTTTGAGGTTGAAGAGACGGCTGTTGGCTCCCCCTGTTGTCGATGATGCAGCACCTCCCTCCTTGTCGTTGAGTATTTCGTCTGATTCTGGGGCCCAGTATGGCGTCCCTCTGGAACAATAGTTGAGTCTGTACTCAAAGGGTTAAGTCATATTTTTTATATCACAGTTCTTAGAGTTCCATTGAACTCCAATCCGGCTCATGAGTTGGTCCAGACTTAATCCGGTGACTGAACACTTGTTAGAAAAGTCCCCGTTGGAAGAGGTCCGTTAGCACGATTCCTCTCAGCCCCGACGGAGCCCAGAGGCATGCGACCATGGTTTCATTCATCCCTGCTGTTCCACAGGAGGAGGAAAAGGTAATCGGAGCGGGACGATCCTTTAGCGTTAGATGGTCGTGTTCAGGAGGAAACAAAGCTGCAGTCCCTGCCTTGAAATGAACTCTGAACACCTCGTTGAAACTGATGGCTGATGAGAGCACAGAGGAGCCGGTGTTACTCTGATTATTAATGAAATGCTATTAATAAAAGTATCGTAGCTCTGAATAAACAGTTTGTGTGTTTTTAAAAACAGAGCTGCACAGTTAAAGGTTCTGACTTTGTTTTGATCCTGAAGCAACAGCTGTGACTCTGTTCTCCAAACGGCTCAGAGCAGACAGCTGATACTGAACAGATTTAACTCAAAACTAAATATAACTCAAGCCCTGTTGGCTGTTTTCTTCTTTGTTTTAGTCTCTGTGCTAAGCTAACTGGCTGCTACCAGTTAGCTTAGTTGTTTAAATCCTCTTAAATAGCAAGAATTCAAATAAGTGTAATTCCCAAAATGTTAATCTTTCCTTTTAAATCGAGTAGAACCTGAAAGTTTCTCTCTGCTCTGAGCTCCACTTGTGTTTCTGTGAGGACATTTTGTTGAAATGGTGTGTATTCCTGAGTTCCCTTCAGAGGAGGGGTCGCTGCAAACCCCGGTTCGATTTTGACGCTTTTTTCGTTTTTATTCTTTAGGTAGATACTTTATTGATCCCGAGGGAAATTCAAACAAACTTTAGACAAAAGCTCTGAAACGTTTGTCACAAGTAGTCGTTTTTAACCCTCTCCAGTTTAGTCCAGTTTTAGGCGATGACAATTCAAAACATTTAACGCGAGTTAGTCTCTAAAAAGTCGTCAATGGGGGTTTTAGGGCGTTGTGATACACGACGTTCTCCATCACCAAAATGCCAAATCAGGGAATGTTTGGAAAAAATGTCCCTCGCTCACTCTCTGGAGTTTAAAGACTTCTACAATCAAAGCGTGGGAGCATTGAGCTGCTCAAAGCACACGCTGAGAAAAAAAACTAAACTGAAGAACGCATTGCTGAGTTTGTGTAGGAGAGCAGCGTGTTTTTCATCTTTTCAGGGACGATCAGTCGGCCTGACAGACGATGTAAAGTATATTTAAAATTGAATCCTGCTGCGGTGCGTTATTTCATGGGTTGGGATGTGAGAGGACAAATGGTGGTTAGTAAACGCTGCAGTGTGAGCACGGAGGAAAATGAATTCTTAAAGTGATCGTGTGTCCACTCTACATGGACCAGATTTGTAGGCAGGTATCAGAAGGATTCTGCTTTGTCTTTGTTCTGATAGGAACAGTCACTTTGGGTGTTTAAGCCCACCAAGCGGTCTGATTCAGTTCGCATTTATTTTCGTTTTAAAAAGTTGGGAATGGTCCAAAAATAACTGATCCTTACCGTCTTAATTAAATGCTACCCTTCTGTTGGGGTGCCAAGATCCGACCCTAAAGGCTGGAAAGAATCATCACTCCTTGTGCAGCGACGATAATAAAGGACAAACACAAAAAAAAGATTTTGAGGGAGTAATTTTTTGTGACTTGTATCAATCAGCATGTAGCTCCGCCCTAAGGACGACCTCAGGGGTGCCAACCTCCAGTGTACATCCTCCATTGTTGCCCTTCTTTAACTTTGTTGCATTCTTCTTTGTTTTAATTTATTGGTGGGCTTCACTGTGTCGAGATGATGTGATGTCACGCTATTACACAGCTGACGAGGCTATCGCCATCAGGCTGAGACTCTCTTACCATTTAAAGGCTTACTATGCGATTTTTATTTTTATTTTTGTTGATCCAGCAGATGTCGCCCTTGAGCACCAGCATGAAACCAAAACAACTCGCGGTGCATTGTTGTGTTAGCATGCTAATGCTAGCTATCTTTATTATGCTCGTATCTTCACACTGTATGTAAATTTACCTGAAATGAGCGTGATCTAGAAACACAGTGAGTTAAGCAGTGAGTACAGTATGTTATTCTTCTTTTCTCTAGTCACTCAATTAAACAACTTTTATACACGAGGGGAGGAGTCAGCCGGCCGTCCCGACGATGTAAACAAACTGAAGATAGGACTCTGAAAACATCACAGACAGTGGGACTCGGGTGTTACACCCATTGTAGACAGTCATGACTCACAGAGTTATTTTCAGAGGATATACTTGATTTCTATTACATTACATTACGTGTGAAAAAGCACATATAAAGCCTTTAAGGGTACGGTTATCTGTAGAAACGCAAGTGTGATCAGGGTTTATTGTACCAAACTGTTCTGGACCGCCTGCTACAGATGGTTCTCTAGTGTTTTCAGAAAAACGTCCCAGAAGGAGGTTGAATGCAGCAGCTGTGATGAAGTCTTGAGTCCCCTTAACTTGGATCTGACCACGATTTCAGTGTGATGAATCTGAACTGAAATCTGTCTGCAAGTGGCAAAATTAGAATCAGAATCGGGGTTTATCAGCAAGTACATTTACACATACAAGGAATTTGACTTGGTGTATTGGTGCTAAACAATTAACAAGGAAATAAATAATAAAGCAGTTCTACGATGTCGCCTCCCATTCCAATTCTAATCTCAATTCTCAATGTTTCTTCCTTTATCAAGAAGAAAACTTTAAAAAGTCGTGAGCTGGTTCTGAGATTGTCCACTTCTCTAATCTGACTTTCAGTTTCCTCTATCAGTCTTAGAGGATTTGTCCATCTGTTCTTTAGTGAAGCACTTTCATGGAGTTGAGATGATGTGCTGGTATAAACTGACTCTGTCCTGTCCTCCAGATACCTGAAGTATCTGACCAAGAAGTACCTGAAGAAGAACAACCTGCGTGACTGGCTGCGCGTCGTGGCGAACACCAAGGAGAGCTACGAGCTCCGCTACTTCCAGATCAACCAGGATGAAGAGGAGGAGGAAGACGAGGATTAAAAACAACAATTCATTTGATTTTGTACATTTAAATAAATGTTGTTTACAGTACAGAGGCGACTCCCCGAGGGTTTTTTATTTTGAGGTCAGAGGACAAAAGAGCTCCTGGACCTGTTTATCAAAAAACAATATGGCCGACAGGTGGAGGACTGAGTGGGTTCAGTATCATGTTTAAGAGTCTAACAGGGGGCTCCAAGAACTACAGATGAACCTGAATAAAACAGTGAAAGTGCAGGTAAATGGTGTGAACCTACAGAAGCCCAAAAGAGACAAACATCAATGTTCTGTTCTTCATCCTGTGATAACAAGAACACTTGGGTTGTTTTCTCGAGCTCTCAGGGTTAAAACTCTGGTTCCTCGTGATGACTGAATTTCAGCATTTCTTTTGAGATCTTAAGAGTTTTAAGAGCTTTGAGATCCTGAGATAACGAGATAAATAAGTTGACACCTCTATTAATAAAAAGTACAGATTTAAATCATCTTTGGGCTTCTGGGTGAACCAGCAGAAACTGCAATCAAACTTTGATAATCTACACAATAAGAAGACTCACCTACAATATAATAACCAGACCATGATCTTCAGACTTTTTAAAAGTGTATTTCCTTCCTCAATAAGACACTTGAGAATCTCAGTGAATATACAACAAGGTAAATGTAAGGATGTGTGAGTGGTGTAGTTTCTGTGTTCTGATATTAAAGATAAATATAAACATGGAGAAATCTACTCAGTTAGCTGGTTCAAGTTATTTAGGGGTCATGTGATGGGGTAGGTAGTGTCAGTGTCGTCACTACATGGAGCTTGCATGGACGGTGCACAGGTCTGTTGAAGGTGGAGATGCTGTAAAGTAGGTTATGTAACTCATCAGGATATCAGGGCATGACTGGAGAAAGGTGTCTCACTTAGTTGTGGTCAAGACCACTAACAGAGACCAAAAGCCCAGACCAGAATGCTCCGAAATAAATACTTTAATTTTGTATGATCTATTTATTGGATCAATAAAGTATTATTCTACCTGAGACCAGAATAACCAAGACAAGAAATATCACTGAGAAATCCTCATCTTGTGTTCAGAGGCTGTGCCACTAACTTAGACTGTAACACCGGGAGATAAAAATTCAACTACAAATGAATTAAAGTTGTTCATTCTTTTATGAAGAGGCATTTTCCTTCTAATTACAGTTATGATGTGGAAAAGCAGCCTGTCAGTGATGGTCTTGATTTAAAATCCGGAGTCCGCCCAGTCTGAGACAGCAAAAAAAAAGCTTTCAATTCCGATGCGAGACCTTTCAAAAGTGGTCTGGAGACCGGTCCTTGTTTCACTGAGCGCTTCTCCTTTCATCAGGGAACAAGTATCGTGTGTTTATTTAGAAGTGTAATGACTCAAAGCGTCGGCTGTAACACAAACAAAGAAGACAGATTTATTCATGTGAATCTTTATTAATCCATTTCAATGAAAATAAAACAACAATAACCCAGAGAAAGAATTTCCACCATAAAAAAAGAACGAGTAAGAGGGAAACACGTCGGCTGCTTTTTTTTTTTTTTTTTTTTAAGGACAAGCCTGCATTTTCAGCACGACGTGACACACTGAACCATCACCGCTCTGCTTGTGAAACCGCTTTGAGCGTTGGAATCGTTACTTTTACTCAAAATAAAAAATAAAAAGACTATGAAAAACGAGCAGACCCGGAGGTCTTGGAAGGACTGAGGTGTGCATCGTGGATGCAAACACAAGAAGAACGAAAGGAATGTAACATCGAGTGGAGTGCACTAACGCAGAACATCACGTTCTGAATCCTGATTGTAATCTGTGGCAGCTGCACACACGCACACCTGCTCACACTGACGTATATACACTGACGCAGAGAGATCAGCTGATCCTCCAGACGACACAAACGAGACTTCCATATCCTGAACGAACACGTAGAAAAAGGCACAGGTATGGAGAATTGGTCTTTGAAAAGCCCTCAGCGAGAAAACGCCGAGGGTCCTGATGTAGCACCCGTAAATGTGACAAACATTTGTATTTATTTTTTAAAATCATTTCAAATACTGCAACACCGACAACAGAACGAGAGACGTGAACACATGGATGTTTGGCTGTATCACAAAATAGAAAAAGGTTTTTTTTTTTTTGGGAAGCACGACCGGCTGGGTGTGAAGTGCTTAGGAGCGAACTGTTGCAGGTTCACTCGAGGTTGGGATGTGACTGTTTGAGGAGAGACACAGAACGTCGTCTCCGGTCCAGTTAAGCAGATTTCAGAGTCCAAATTGATGTAGAGCAAGTTTTGCTGGTAGTTGAGATGTGTAGGAATCCTTCCCCTCCCCCCCTTCCTCCTCCTGAACTCAAACCCTGTAGACCTCCACCGAGAGCGGCAGAGACCCTCAGATCCGGAGTTCCTGCTGAGCAGCGCTGGCCTCTGCTCAGGAGAAAGAGGTTCAGGTGTTGCTGCAGGAGGACCAATCAGAGTGTTCGGGGGTTGTACTCGGGCAGCTTTTTCAGTTTCTCCTTTTCCTGCTCGGTTTCCTGTCTGGCAATGACCATCGAGTGAGAGTACCCCATCACCACCTGCAGGAACACAAACATCATAGGGTAAGGACCAGAACTATTCACATCCCCCCCGCTGCTTCAGCCATGAACGTCTTCACGACCACCAATCTCTGGTCTGAATCATGGATCAGTTTGTTCCATTGTTAGAGTTTGGTCTGTGTTCACACAGGGACGTTTACAAGCCAACCTAAATGTGTGATGCACGAGGAAAATGATCTCTGATTAGTCGGGAAAAGTCCCTGAAGTAAACTAAGACTAGCTGAGTCCTGATTGGCTGTGGCTCCTCCAAAGACACTTTACAATCTCTAAATGGACCGACGACTACACGGACTGATGTCGGTATCGAGACCGTTGAGGAGAAGGAGCACCTTAATCCTCTCCTGATCCAGGACCAAGTTAATCCTCCTGATCCAGGACCTGCTCATCTACCCAAACTGTTTCTCCAGGGTTTGATTGACAGCTCTCACAACCGGCGTAAAACAAACCGCACTAACTTGGCAAACAGACTCGGGTTCATTTTAACCGAACTAAAACAGGTTAGGTGTGAAATGGCTCGAGTTGTGCTTTGTGTTAACTGCAAATGTTACCATGGTAACCATGTGTGAGATATATATATATATATATCTCTCTCTCTCTCTCTCTCTCTCTCTAGTTTCCCCAGTTTGAGCCAATCAGAAAGTGTTGTTGGTCCACCCATTTACCTGCTCCATGAAGATGCCATCCAAGGTCTTGACCTCCTGAGCGGTGGTGGATGACTTTGGTTTGTTGTCTCCGTATCCCTGAAAAAAAGAAGACCAGAGAAAAGATCAGCGCTGATCGTTTTTCCGGTTACTTTGGTGTCCAGTAGAGATCAGGCCAGCAGGTCTTACCAGCTCTCCGAATGTGGGAGAGGGTCCCCAGCTGATAGTGCTCTCATCTGCGGCGACGATGACGCTGCTCTTCCTGTTTGATTCAAAGACACACAAACACACACACACAGGATTTAGAGCGAGACGAGAAAAAACATGCAGTCTCTAGGCGGACCCATGTTGAGACTTTCAAATCATTCCTTGAGGGATAACTTCCTGAACAGAATTTACAAAAAAGATCGTCCTCACTCACCCACAGGCCAGACTGCGGATCTTCCAGCCACACAGATCCTGCACAGCTTTGGGGTACATGGTGGACTCTCTGGAAGTGTTTGTCACACCCCAGAAAAACAGACCCCCTGGAATAAAAAAAACACAGATCAGACATCTACACATACAGAAGGATGCAAACCGCCATTTTTACATTTCACAAGTGTTAGCATCTTTTCCTTTAGCATCAGCTGCGTCTCGTCTTACCCATCTCACTGACGGCAAATGAACACTGGTAGCCTGAACAGATCTGAGCGGCTCCGCGTCCAGGGAAGTCAAAGAGTTTGACGAGTCGTGGAACCATCTCGTCCTTCTGCTCCGTGTGACCCAGACGCCCGTATCCACCGAAACCCCAACTGAACACTCGTTTCTGAGAGTCCAGAACAAGCTGCAAACACACACACACACACACACACACACACACACACTTACTCATACGCTCAGAGGATCTGCTTATCTTTCTGTATTTGGGTGTTATTTTCTCACCGTGTGGTTGGATCCACAGGCCACATCTCTGACCACCACGTTGGGTACAGGTGTGACCTGGCCGTCCTTGGACTTCTCGATGAAGATGGCAACACGACGAGGGATGAGCTCGCAGTCAAACTCGATGCGCTGAGCGCGAGCTATGAACTTCCCGTCGCTGTTGTGGCCTGCAAAAACAAAGACAGAGGGACTCAGATTTACACAAAAACAACAGAAATAAAACAATATTCCTGAAGTTCCAACCTCAGTGTTCGGACACTCAACCTGTGAAACAACTTCTCTGCAGAACTGTCAGAGGCTGCTAACACGTCGGTCAAGAAGACCCAGAGGTCACTAGCATTCAGATGATTCTTTGGATCCTCACTAGTCATAAAAAGGGAGTAACTATTCTTCCTGGATTCACGTTATAAATCTGCATTGCTCTGACGCTCTTAGGTGAACGCAGGATGTCAGGAGGAGCCGAAGTGACCTCAAGTTAAGTTTTGGATTTCCTCAGATCCCCTTCTCTCTTAGGTAAGGAGGTAAGTTGTGAAGTCAATTTAGTACCATTTAAAACGCTGAATAAAACACTTTAGCTGCTGTCACGCCTGCACTAAACTCCTGAAGTTTTCATTCTGAGTCATGTGTAAACACAAACATCTGAATGTTTCTCTCTTCACCCGGAGTTTCTCCTCCAGCCTCCTCGTATTTCTTCTGCAGAAAGTCAGAGTGAGCTGGTGTGAGAACGCAGCAGGATATAATCAGGAGAATTCACTTGGAGCCAGTGGGAGGGGGTGGTGACCTTTATTCCCTGTGATCGCTGCACAACCATAGACTGTCTGCACGCCACCTCTACCATCTCCGTGAATGTAATTAAACTGGTTCAGTAAAAAAAACAACTGCATGAAATGACCTG